TATAGGAGAAACTGACCTCACAAACTGTGATTTAATAAAAATTGGATAGTTATTAATAATAGTGAAGCAACGAAGCTCGTTGACCGAGGAACTGTGAGATGTAGAAAGTCTGAGCGAATTGGCCCCGTCTGAATTTTTGAACTTTCTGGGAAACTTGGCTCCGTCTGGATTTGTGAACTGTATCGTGGGCGTACCACTATAGAAATTCACGGGGAAAAACATGGGTACTGTATTCAAAAGGGGAAAAATACGGACTTCTCGAGATCGTATAGATTTCCTTGCTTCGATTGTTCAAGCACCATTAGAAGTTACTGGCGAAGACGCCCCTATTCTGAGGGATTTTTGAGCCTAAAAAATATCTCGAAGGAGAGTGGCGAAGTTCTAAATCACTATTAGCGGGTTGTGATTTCCGAAAAAGCAGAAAAACTCTAAAATATAATAGGATGATGGGAAAAATGGAAAGCAAAAAGGAGGATGGAACGTTAATCAGCAAGCCAAAAATTTAGTGTGTAGTCGCCTCTCGGCTCCGTATTTTTTAACTCATAAATAGATGTACAGTTTTGATAAATTTGCTGTGTTGAATTGTGCCAGCGCTTTCATCTTTCATCAACAATTTCATGTCGAATTTGGCGTGTTTTTGAGCGCATCGTGAAGTTACCGTGTACTTCAGGTGCATCATTCTTTGGCCGACTTAGAAGTACCAGCGTCAAAACGATTGCCTCACTCCAGTGGCGCACGTTTTCTTTCAACATGCAATTGTGGCCATTCTCAAGCACTGCGCAATGATCCCTTCACACTCAAGGTTTTTTTTTCCTTAAAATTTATGCAATTTATTTTAGCCTAAGTATTGCTTTATTTATCTTCGTCTTTACCGTAAATTTCCAGTCATTGGAATTTAGCCAGTTAGCTTTGTGGAAAGGCACTGGATCTTGTGCCATGGTTTCGGGTAAATCTCAGTCGGAATTGCTTAAATGTTGCAGATTTATTTAAGATATGACTGTCGTGAGCGGGGCCCTTTCTCAAAAATTGTTCTGGCCCGGGAAGGGATTGAACCCTTCCCCTTTGTATCCGGACGCAGCGTCTTGCCACTACACCACTGGTTTTCGTGCTTCAGGTTCAGCGTGACAGCACATTCACTGTGTATCTGCTTTCAAGGCATGGTGCACCTTCGTTTTATTCTCCGCCTCGTGTAGGCAGTTCCCATCTTTTTCTTTGTGGCAGCTTCTTTTCCGGCTTTTCGCGGGTTTTTCGTGCCAGTGATAAATTTTCGTACTGATGGACAAAACGCTTAAAAAAAAGTACGCGCTGCTTCACTGCTCTCAAATGCGGCTTATTGAAGTTTAGTTTCCTTTTATTATAGTTCAAAGCGCAAAATTTTCAGGAAGCGAATTATGATTTCTACATGCAGTCTCACTTCGAATGTTGCCAAGATTTTGAACGCTACGAATTTGAAGTATTTGAACAAGAAGCCACTGAGGGAAAATTGGATGATGTGGAGTCGTTGGATGAATCGCTCGTCTCGCCGAAACAAAGTCTTGTACAGTCTGTCTATTCGGTGGTCGAAGGTATAATTCGTGGATTTTTAGTTTCTTTTTTCCGTTTTTGGTCATAATTTAGAGTCAGCTGGTTATGGGCAAAATAGTTTTTTTTTCTTAAGTTTGTTTGTTTGAACATATGAAATTTTCAGAGGATCTGGAAATGCTTTTGGATAGGGATAATCGTCTGGAAGTTGACGAATTGCATCGTGATTCTCCTTTCAAAAGTAATAATTCACTTTTATTTAATAATCGACTGAATCTCAGTCTCTCAAATTATTATTATTAATTGTGATGATTTAAATGTTTATGCACGACTTTTATAAACAAACTCAAAATGATTCGTGTTATATCGTTGTAAGTTTACATCGCTGTAA